CTGGAGAAGCACTAGAGCTCCAAACAAACATGTGAAGATCCCTACCTCCATCTTCTTGCTTCTGCTGCGCCTGTCCATTAGGCTTCTTCGCACTAGCGTTAGCTCCAACACCTTTAGACCCAGTTGGCGAGAACATCCCCGGGTTCGGCGCCGGATAATGAGCCGCACCACCGGACCCGTGGTAATGAAACCTCGGCTTGCCACCGGCTGCACCATCTTCCTCGTAATTAGACGGCCTCGGCGTCGGCCCTCGCGACGCCGATAGTCCATAAACATCGTTGGCGCCGAAGTTAGAGTTGCGCCCACCAGCCATCATCGAGTAAAAATCAGTGTGGTTGAAGCTGGAACCTCTCGGCGTCGGGTTCCTCGACGATTGCAGAGAGTAAATCTCCGCATTGGTTAAGTTTGAGGGACGCGGAGTTGTTGATAACCCTTGAGACCTTCTGGAGAAGATATCTGATCTCGACGCATTGGATTTTCGAACAGTGATATGTAGCTTTCCATCTTCTTTAATCTCAGCTTCCGTCTCCAGCGGCTGCCGTCCGTCAAGCGAGACGATATCGGACTCGACATTGATGGAGACAATGGAGCCGGCAGTGTCCGGAAACTGCTCGGAGATGAGCAATTTGGCACCTCTGTATTCAAACATGAAAAGCATTAAAGTGTACCAGATAATGCACTGAAGAACAACGATTTGAACCATCAAGCTGCCGGAGAACTCGCCGTACATCCCTTTAAGCAGAGGGATGCCCATGACCAAAGTGTTTGGGAGAGTGGAAAGTGAAAAGAGAGTAATGGTCCATTCTAGACAACCCCTTTTGCTGAGCTTAGTCCAGAGAGCAAGAACCACGAGGACAATAACCTTTTGGAGAGTATCAGCAGCTATGAAGCGGAAGTTCATGGTGTAAGGATCATTGCCGGCAATGAAGTGGAAAGAGAGAAGAGGAACGGCAAAGAGAGCGACAAAACGGTTGATACCAGAACACTGGTCAGGAGTGAAGATCTTCCACCACTTAACAGAGCCGTAAGCGAGAATCATGGCCACGTAAAGTGGCACCATTGCCGTCATGACATGGTAGAAATCTGTTCCGGTGATCATCTTCGATGTGGTCCGGGTAATTTACTCAGTCAAAAGTTGAAATAAAGGGAAACCAAGATGAAGAAAAGAAGTGAAGAAGAAGGTGAGAAGAAAGAAAGAGGAAGAAGAAGAGAGATGGTGGTGGTGGTGGTGATGATGAGAAGTGCAGTAAAGGGAATGGAAGAGCATGTGGATATGGGGAAATGAGTAATAAGGAGAATTGAGAGAAGGAATTTCCTTCTTTTTTTAAGAGTGTGGGAGAGAGAGCTTTGAGAGTTGCGAGCAAGCTTGCACTTGCAGTCCCCAAAGCACACAGGATTTGCTTTTTTTTTTCTTTGTTTTTTCCCTTTTGTTTTGCTTTCTGTTTGGACTTGAAGAAAGTCAGGGAGTACTTTCAGTAGCTACTCAGTATTTATTTCTAATTCTTCCCAACTCTCAAAATCTATTTTTTTTTTTTTTTTTTTTATTTTTTCATAAAATCATTAGCTAAGAAATTGGAGGTATTTATAATTTTAATCATAATTAGGCTCTACCCCTTTCATTAATTAGTAATAAGAAGATTATCTACGAGTTTTGCAGACGTTACTAATTAAAATAGTTAAGATTATAATGGTTTATTTTTGTTTCTAATATTCGGTATATAATATAAATAAATAAGGGTGCTTTAGTAAGTAAGTTGGTGTATGGCACTATCTTGAAGCAAGTAATGGAGGGTGGAAGGCAAAAATGTTTGGAGGTGGGTGTGTCTCCGAGTAGTTTGTTTTGGTTTTGTCACAAATTAGCTCGGCTCGGCTCGGCTCATCTCATATTTATTCTCTTTTCCGTTTGATCTTTCTTCTTGGATTCGCCTTTTAAGAAGCCCTCATGGGTCGCTCCATGGATCATGCTTCTCTGTGCCCTTCCCTCTATCTTTATTCTTTTTTTCTTTTCTTTTCTTTTCTTCCCTTCAATAAAATTCTTTTTCTTTTTCTTCACAATATTTTATATTACTTTCATTTGACAATAATTCATATGATTTTTATTTTATTTTATTTTCATGTTTATTAAAAATAAATTTTAATTCTCTCTCTCCTTTCTTTTTCAAATTTTAAAAATCTCAATTAATAAGTCACCCGATATTATTAAAGATATTTGAAGATAAATTAAATGCGTAGGTCCAAATATTTTAGTAAACAAGATATGATAAATGTACCTCAAACGTGATTCGTCCTATATAATTAAAAAGCTTATAATAAAATTATTTTTTTCTATATTCGTAATTACTATGTATCTATCTTTTCTCTCTTACGCATTCTTTCATTCCATTTCACAAAATATTCTTAAATTTATATTTATATTTATATTTACTCGAGTGTCAAAATAATTTTTTGAATAAAATTTTAAAATTATAAAAAAAATTGTATTGCAAACCACATTATTTTTAGAACTGGGTCAAAATCTATCATCGTCACTAATTTTTATTTAGATTTATACTTTTTTTTTAACTATTAAATTTAATACAGTCTTATATATTAATTATTATATTAATAAGAAATTTATTAATCATATAATTGTTATCACAAATTAAAAATATTATTGTTATTATTATCATCATCATTATTATTAATGTCGTCTAACCATAGATAGTGACAATTGGTCTTAAATTATGGTAATTACAGATAATATAGATTTATGATAGAATTTCATAACTTATAAATTTAATTTAATTATGAATTAAAATAACAACACGTAATATTATTTAATTAGTTATATTTTTTTTAAAAAAATTTGTATTGTGTATTTTTTAGTTTATTAAAAAATAGTTTTTTTTAACTACTATTATTCTTATTAATAAATGTGAAGAAAATATAGATTTAAAAATAATATATGGTTTTTTTATTTTATAAAAATCAATATAGGAAGAAGTGAATGGCTCCACGCGCCTAAATATGGGGCACTAAAATTGGAGCGCGAGTAGGACAAATGTATATAAAATGGGTATCAAACCCTTCACGTCACGTGGAACCTAAATTGTCCACTTACTTTACACCACCATATCTTACTTCGTATTATTTTTTCTTCTATTATATATATATACACACACACACACATAATTAATCATTAATAAACAAAAATGATTT